GCAGTTGTTTGCTCTACCTGAGGAGTCTCAAATCTTTTTTTTATGTTTAAAGAGAAAATAAAATAAAATAGAGTTTCAAAACAGGTTAGTAGGAGAGTTACAATAATTAATACATTGCACATTGTTGTCTTCATAGTAGTCTCAAATCTTTAAGTTTACTTCTTGAAGAAACTGAGTCTTCTGCCCTGCATTTACCCACATGCTGCATTTTGCTGCTTGTCCCCTGTGGTGTCAATAAAATTCCTCTGTGTCCTTTACATATGTTGCCTCAGTAGGTAGATCTGGAGATTTGGTCGGAACTGAGTTTGATTTTTGACCACCAGGAAATCCATAACATCTATATCTGTTTGTCTCTTACTTTGTGATGTTACAAGTATTGATAATCTTTGGATGAATCCATCAACTCATCAGGGGGTGCAAAAGGGTAATATTGTACTTCTGTCATTTCTAGTTTTTTTTTTTAATTAGAAAAACTGTATGAATAGAAATTTTTCCAATAAGCTGTCAAATAATTCTGAGATGCAGTCATATAGAAAAGGCAGAAAAATGCTCCATGTTCTCCTCGTATTTTTGTAAATGTATTGGATGCAATTCAGTCCTTCATAGTGTTCATCCTTATGGTTGGTGATCACATCGTCTCCTTCACTGACCAGCTAGAAGGAGCTCATCGAAGTGGCCTTTGCCACAAGCCTAGGAGCCTTTCATAGCTTCTTTGTCTTCTGCACTGAAAATATGTTCCCACACCATCTTGTGCATTTCTTGACCTAATCTGGAATAAACTATTTCTCCAGAAATCCTTGCTGTTTTTTAAATGGGAAAATTAAAATTAAAAGACTACAAGTTGGGTGTGAGGGTTTTTATTAATACTGTTTCTAATAATTTTAATCATTGTTTCTTGGCTGTATAAAGAGATGGAGCTAGAAAATTTGTATTTGTAAAAATTTGACATACTATGAATGTAAAAACTGATACTTCTAACTCACATGTAAAACTATAGTTTTTAAAAAATCATCAATCTTATATTGTTGGATATTTCTTAACAATGTCTCACTTAACAATGTACCACTATACAATGGTTGTCCAATAAGATTACACCCTCTAGGGACATTTTAGCCATTTGAGTTTGTGTAAGCCACTCGATGACATTTGCAGAGTGATGAAGTAGCCCAGTGATACATTTCTCAGAAAGTGTCATCATTATTAAGCCACTCAGGACTGTATCTGTATCTGTTTTCACCCTGTGGAAATACAGGACCCCAGTGACACCAGGATAATTATAGCTTAATACCGTACTACCCACATGACAGTCTCAGAATAGCAATAGCAATCTTACCAGTAACAATATGACAATTGAAAATAGTTTAGGGTTAATTTTTATTTTTAAAGTATGTTCTAAAATAATTTGGAATAACTCTTCCTTATCTGATTATACCTCTGACATTATGTACATTGTACACAGGGTGTTTGTTTCATTAGATTTTCAGTTTTAGGGATTTCATCTTAAAATTTAATTTTGTTTTACAATGATGTAAAGTGTTTAAATGTATTTAAAAGCCAAGTATGGAAAAATAAAATGTATTCATAAAGTACAGTTTCTATTCTATTCCAGTTCTCTGTATGCTGTTGTCTCCTTCTCCTATAGGTAATCATTTAAAAATTTTAAAATAATTTATCTTTTGCTTTAGTTTGAAGTTTACCACAAAGCAGAGGCCAAGACAATGATTGTGCACATAATTCATTTTAAGAGGTGACCCCAGGGTACAGTACAGAGACCTGAAGAAGTGGGAAACAGAAGGAAGGAAAAATAATCTGAGAATGCGTTATCAAGTCAATGGCTACAGTGGAGAGTGGGGACTCAAGCCCACAGAGGACGCCAGAGGACCAAGGAGATCACACCTCTGAATAGTCTACTCCTGACATTGATAGCGAAAGTATTGATCTTGGGGCCTGTGCCCCTGTCTCCTATTGGTCAAAGATTACCCTGGGTGTTAACTCCATGAACTTTCAGGTGTGCTGAGGTGTTAAAGTGGTTGCCAGCGGGAGCCAAGACATCTCTGAAGAAATGCAAGGCATATACAGTACAACCCTGGCCAGGGGCTGTGTTGGACTACAGGTGTTCACAGCTGGTTGCTGCAACAACGGCTGCATGGAGCGACAGGATGGACTGTAAAGCCATAGGATGGGGCAGAAAGAGCCCAACATATCCTTGCATTGTGTATTTTAATTAGAAAAATATAGGCAAGTAGGTAGACGCATGTTACGGTTTATATCTGCATGTCTCCCTAAAGCCGCATGAGCTCATATGTAGGGTGTTTTGGACGGTGATTAGATTATTGGGCTCTGTAGCTCACTTGCCTTTAGGAAGTGGTGTCTGATTAAAAGAAGCGGGTCACTGGGCACATGGCCTAGAAAGGTTTATCTCCTTTCTTGGCTCTCTGCTTCCTGTCCACCATGCTGTGAGCAGCTCTCCTCTGCCACACCCCTCTGCCATGCCACCTTTCCTTGGAGCAAATGAGTAGGGAGTGAAACCTCTACACACTGTGATCCAGAATAAACCTTTCCTCCTTACAGTTGTGCAGCTAGGGTATTGTGTCCCAGTAATAAGGACAGTAGCTAAAACAGTATATGCCCCATTTTTTAGATAAATGGTAAAGTAACATTATATACATTTTATCCCCACATGCTTTTGTCATTTAACTTGATATCTTAGAGAACACCCACCACAGTGGCCAGACATCCATCTTAATTCATTTTCTCAGGTGCCAAAAACTCCATCATCAGATGTTCCAGCATTTATTAAGCCATTCCTCTCTTGATGGGGGTGGTAGGGTGCTCTCTAATCGTCTGCCTTTAAAAATACTTCTGCAGTGTATAGCTTAGTTCATGCATCCCTTCCTTCCTAATTTCACAGATTCTTCTAGAATAGATTTCTAGATATGGGATTCTGGCTTTAAAGATGAATAAATATGTGACTTTTCCAGATATCACCAAATTTCCCCCACTAGTATTTGTAGCTTTTTGCATTCCCACCAGTGAGATGGAAGAAACCACACTTCCCCACAGTCTCACCAACAGAATGTGTTGTGAAATTTTTGGATTCTTGCCAGCTGGATGATGGAAAATGATGTCCCAGTAATTTTAAACTTCATATTTTTCTAATGAGTGAGTTTGTACCTTCTTAAAAAAATGCTTTATTTCTGTGACTAAAATGTGTCTCATTTTCACTTGAAGCCTCTGTCACACCTGGGCTTTTGTCTTTTGGGATTAACTGTGACTTCTTTGGCCAGTGGGTTGATGAGGAGCATTTGGGGACATCTCTCGTGCCTGTGACCTGAGCTTTTTCTCTCTGAGGCTTAGAATCTAGAGATTACAGCCTGGGAATCAGTAAAAAGCAATAATTAGAATCAGGTTTCCACTTGTGTGTTGTTTTGTCTTCTTAATAGACCCATGAGAGGGATATTTTACAAATCAGGAAACAGGTTCAGACAGACCATGTCCCCCATCTAAGGTTGCACAGCTGGAGTGTAGCAGACATGGGCCCTCTTTTTGGGTCTGTTTGACTCCAGAGCCCTGGCTCTTCCCACTGCACTGGAGAGATTTTGAGTTTGACAGATGCTTTGCCATACTGGCTGCCAAGGGGAAACTCTGCAAGATGGATAATGAGAAAGTCATTTTTCAGGGGATCAATGTGGATGAAAGATTAATTGATGTAACACTGCCAAAGGGAGGATGCTGCAGTCTGGAATATGTTCCAGGAAGCTCAGAGGACAAGGAGGAGGGAGAATATTCTAGAGGAGAAGGATAACAGGAGAGGAATGAAGGAGGCCGTTCTCCAGTGGGCAGTTAGAACCTCATCATCTGGCCTCAGTCACTGCCAATGGGGGCAGTGCACACAGCACTCCTCTGCTTAGAGGCTGCCCCCTCTACCTAAGTTGTCTTAGGGAGCTGCAGTTTATACCTCCTGCCTCCCATGCCACACCCAAGGCAGTGGCCTCTGCAAGGAGTCTTGCCTGGTACCATGCTACTCAGATCCACTTGCTGACCTCGTTCCTGCTGACCTGCCTCCGGGGGCTGGCTCCACTCCCGTTCCCCTGGACATGTTTCCTAGGTAGGAAACGTCATGGCTTGGAAAAGGATGCAGACCTCAGAGGCCGGCAAACCCCACTGTCTGGACCTGCCTTCCCTCACCTCTAAAAATGAGGACAATATACCTACCAAGAAGAATTACGCTCAGAATGAAGGGCAAATCTGGAAACCAGCATTCATGACCTACAAGGACTGATATCTTTGGCCTTCAGGTTGAGACCTACATCAGGATCCCTTCTGAGGAAATAGACCAGGAGGGTGCACAACTTGGGCAAGTGTTACATGCCCCAAGAATCTTGGGCTGAGATTGTTGGAGAATTTCAGAGGACTGGGAAAGAGAATTAGACCACGTCTCTGACCAGATAACCTGTGCTCTTAGATCTTTTTTTTTTTTTTTTAAATGTATAATTTATATTCTAAAATTCACTCGTTTGTGTGTACAAAATTTTTTTTGGCAAACTGTGCAATCATCCCCACAGCCCAGTTTTGGGGCATTTCCATCACACCCTCAGACCCAGGTTTGCTTAATTATTTACATGTGTATCACTGTGTGGAAATGACCTTTCAGACCCAAGATCACTCTCCACTGGAAGTGAGGACTAGACTGGCAGTGACTATGAGGACGGCATATAAATAAATGTTTACCAGTGCATCAAAGTATGTCCAGGCTGGTTCTGTACAAGCAATCCCTTCATTTAGTCTGATCAAAACCACAGGTGGGCTGTCCTACCTGGCGTTTATTATCTAAAAGGCGCAAAAGAAGGAGCGCCTGCCTCTGTGCCCAGTGTGTGTGCATCTGTTTAACCGTGAACGCACACCACGTGCCAGGTCCGGATGAGTAAAGTGTATCCAGGACCAGTCTGTGCCTTGTGCGCCTGCGCAGCTTCCAGACCGCCAAGAAACAATAACTGAAATTCCAAGCCCAAGACCTACTGATTCTGCAATTGTGGCGTCGCTGTTTCGGATGTGGGCGCCCACCCATAATAGTCAGAGAGAACAAGGCTGGCAAGTAACCCCACACCTCTCTTTCTCTACAAGAACTTATAAGCAACGTCAAGGACAGCAGGCCCTGCATCCGGGCCACTTGGGAAGCGCCCTCTCCCTTAGCCACACCCCCGAGTCTCCGCTCTTTGATCTTGGAGGAGGGACTTTGCTGTGCATCTAGCCTCAGTGAAGGTAAGGAAATGGATAACACAGGTGTTCTGCCAATGTGCACATCACGCCTCACTTTGCAATTGACCACTGGGACAAAGCCAGAGAACCAGGAAGTACAGATCTTCTGCCACCAAGGACTCAGTGACCTGGTGGACACTGGGAAATGATTGGGATGGGGAATCTGCGGCTTCAAGCTGTCAGGCCAGAGTTGCTTCATTCCTTCCCCAAACCCTGAGTCTGAAGACCCAATCGTTTGTGACAGGCCTGGCATCAGCAGACCACCCTGCGCCTCACTTAGTATAGAGGAAGTGCTGAGCGAGTAGGCTTGGCCCATCAGCCTGCCTTTGAGTTTGGCGTGAAAAACTGAGCAATCACTCAATCAGTGAGGTACTGGAAATAGGCAAAGTATTTTTAAAAATTTAAACTTTTATTGTGAGATCATTGTGGATTCACAGGCAAGAAATAATGTACAGAGATGCCCTGTACTCTTTACTCCTTTGGTGCCAGTGATAACATTTTGTAAAACTAGAGTACAATACCAAAACCAGGATGTTGATCCTGACTCAGTCAAGACACAGAGCATTTCCATCTCCACGTTACCCTTTACAGTCACGAGACTTCCCCGCATACCCAGCCTCCTCAGGCAAGCACTCATCTGCTCTCCATTTCTCTGATTATCACTTCAAGAATGTTATCTGAATGGAATCACAGAATATGTAACCTTTGAGGATCGACTCTCTCCTCCCGTCCAGCATTATTCTATGGAAATTCATCCAGGTTGTATATATCAATAACTTGTTTTTTTTTATTGCTGAGTGGTATTCTATGGTCCAGATATACCGTGGATTGTTTAATCATTTACCCACTGAAATATATTGGAATTGTTTTCAGTTTGTGATTGTTGTGAGTAAAGCTCCTATAACAATTCATGCATCAGCTTTTGAGTGAATGAAATTCTTTATTTCTCTGGGATAAGTGCATAGAAGTATTGCTGGGTCATATAGTAGGTACATGTTGAATTTTCAAAGATGCTCCCAAACTCTTTTCCAGAGTAGTTGTGTCATTTTGCAATCCCATCTGCAATGTACGAGTGCTGCAGTTCTCAGCACCTTCACCAACATTTGCTTTTGTCACTGTACTTATTTTAGCCAGTCTGATAGATGTGCAGTGAAATCTTATTGTAGTTTTAATTTGCACTTCCCTAATGGTAATGATGTTGATGGAACATGTTTTCGTGGGCATATATGCCATCTGTCACCATTCTCTTTGGTGACATCATTTATGTTCTTTGTCCATTTTCTAAATGAGTTGTTTTTATACTGTTAAATTAAGGGTTCTTTATACAGTCTGTTGTTGAACAGAGGTTGGTAAATACTTTCTTTTAGTCTGTAATTTGTTT